ATATATATATATATATATATATATACGCAAACAAGATTGTTTACATGACCTAACCCCAACAACTATGTACTTACAGACAGTACCATCTTATCTACTCTTCCCTCCATATTTTTTGTTTTTTGAGACAGGGTCTTGCTGTATAGTACAGGCTGCCCCTGAACTAACTATATAGCCCAGGGTGGCCTTGAACTTGTGGCAGTCCTCCTGCCTCAGCCTCCTGAATGCTGGGATTACAGGCATGTGCCACCACACCCGGCTCTCCCTCCATATTTTGAAGTAAACTTATGATTTATTTTTCTGTTCTTCTTAACACTTGAATATATTTTTAAAAATAAAAATGCAAGCCAGGAGTCGTGGCATATGCCTGTAATCCCAGCACTCAGGAGGCTGAGGGAGGAGGATCATTGCAAGTTCAAGACCAGCCTGGGCTACAAAGTGAGCTCAAGGCCCCCCTGCACTGCATAGCAAGACCCTGTCTCAAAAAGATAAAAAAAAAAGGGGGGGGGTTGGGGATTTAGCTCAGTGGCACAGTGCCTGCCTGGCAAGCACAAGGTCGCAAGTTCAATTCCCAGTACTGGAAAAAAACCAAAACAAAACAAAAAAAAAAGAAAAGAAAAGAAAGGAAAAAGAAAAGTGCAGTAATATTTACTTAGATAACCAGTAGAACACATATGGTTAAAAGAAAGTAACAGTTTAAAAGAATTGAAAGAAATCAACAATGAAAACTAAAGTAACAGAAACCCTCCTACTCAGTCCTGCTGAGAAAGTTCCCTGATCACCAGAGGCATCAGGCACCAGATCTGCCAGCCTGGCAGTTTGGCGAAGAGCTGGGATGGTGATTAGAGAGGAAGGCTGCTCCCCTGGATCACCGATCCATGGGAACCGAGGCCGAGACCCTGACTCGTCCACAGTAAGAAAATATGACTCACCTTGTGGCATCAGGTTTAAAGCTTCATAATGAGACACCGGCCTATCTCATAAAGTACTCACTCCTGGCTAGACTGCGAGGCTCTGACCCAAGGGCCTAATGATACCCTGCTCTATCATCCGCGCTCACTTCTCTCTCCAGCACGTGGGAAGAAATACCTACCTGCATGTTGTACTCAAGGGTGTCTGGGGTGTGGCTTATAACTGGAAAGGGTCCCCCATCCTCCAGAAATGCCCTCCAGGGGAACAGTTCAGATGCCTAAGAGAAATAAGAGACATGATAATGCTATCCTGTCTCCCCAAGTTGAAGACATCTGTATGTGGGTAGGATCTCTGTGTCTGAACCCCAAACCGCTGTTGGATGACTTATTAAGTGGAAATACTGTTTGATGCTAAGTCCCTGATAATGAAGAAGAGAGAGCGATAATTATTTTAAAGTTGTTTTTGGAGCTGATGGTTTCATTGTAACTGGTCAGCACTAGTGTTCTGCAGTTTCAGAACAGGGTAACACCACTGGGCGCATTTATAACCAACAAAAGGAAACTTACTTAAATGCTCTCAGTACTGAACACATTGAAAAGTTATCTTTCCATACCCTGGTTCCCCAGTTCCGGTGTCAGCTCAAGACCAAGGCCACAATTCATTACATGGATGCCTCGGTCCTCTCCACATCAGAGTATGAGAGCCAAGGGATGGCCTGTCCTTTGTGACAGACACCACGCGTGGCCCTGGATCCATGGGGCCTGCCTCTCTGGCCCTATTCTGTACTTCTAGACCTGTTCTGGCTTTAGTCAATTCCTAGAGATGGAATTGACTCTGGCAGTAGGGAACCAGGGCACCTGCGTCCACCTAATCCTAGGAAACATCCAAAGGCAGCGGGAGCAGGCCCAGCAGTCATGATCTAATTCTGTCTTCTGGATCTAAAGGAGGGTACAAAGACTACCTTGTAGCTGGGGTCACTGTTGGCATCACTTACTTACAACATTTGTAATGCTCAAACATTAAGTGGAAAGTTTTCAGTAAAAATCCTGAGCTTGTGAAGTGTTTTTAAAAATATGTTCACAACTTCTTAGATACTCTTCCCATCAAGAACTGGGGCTGGGGGCTGGGGATATAGCTTTAGTGGCACAGTGCTTGCTGGGCAACCACAAGGTCCTGAGTTCTATTGCCGGTCCCCCCCCAAAAAAGAAAGAAAAGAACTGGGGCTAAACTGGGCGTGGTGGCTCACACTTGTAATCCCAGCACTTGGGAGGCTGAGACAGGAGGATCACTGTGAGTGGAAGTCTGAGACCAGCCTGAGCTACAGGAGTTGAAGGCCAGCCTTTTTTGAGACTCTGTTTCAAAAGAAAAAAAGCTGAGGCTTAATTTTGTTCCTCGTGAGTATGAGTGGACTTGGTGACTCACTTCTAGGGAGTAGAATTAGGGGATGTGATGGATTGTCACTTCTGAAATTTGGTAATAGAAAGTCTAGAACTGCCATCTTGAGTTCTGTCTCTCGGACTGTTTGCTCTGAGGGAAGCCATCCACCGTCTTGTAAAGAGCTCTGTAGGGCAGCCACGGGAATAACTTGGAAGTAGACCTGATGTCTACCACCAGCTTGGAGCAGCTTTTCCTGCAGTTACTACCTATGTGCTGCGGAAGCGAGCACGGGCCTGTAGTTATGTCCTGGGATGTTTACAGCACCGGCCGACATCTTGACTGCAGCATGGTGGGAAACCTTGAGCCAGAACTACCCACCTAAGCCTCTCCAGCTTCCTGACCTCAGACGCGATGTTCAGAGAGTGAATGTTTATTGTTTGTGCCTGTTCAATGGGGGTGGTGGGTATGACTTGTTCTACAGCAACAGAAAAGGAACATTATTTGTGACCTGGCACTGCCTTGATTCTCCAGTAACCCAGTCTCTGGCTTTCCTAAATCTTGAGCCTTTGGAAAGTGGACCACATTGTCCCTGCATAAGAGCAATACCGGTTGCCAGGATCTCATTTGATAACACGTGTGGTAGCCAGGGCTATTCAAAATTCAGCAGCTGACCCAACAATTACAATTGCTGTCATTATTTATTAAACAGAAAAGATCAAGTGTTTGTCTTGTCACCAGCTGTGAGCAAAGAAGCTGCTGCCTCCACCGGCCTATAAAGCATTTGCAGACAAAACCCTGACTGGAAGGAACAGCTGGTCGTGGAAGCCCAGGCCGCTCCACCATGTGAGTGACGGGGAGCCAGGGAAGACCGAAGGGTGCTAAGGTGTGGAGACTCGCAGAGTTTAAACCAAACAGAAACTAAGCCATTACCCCCTGTGCATGGCGCATGTTTTACAAAACAGCTGTGAAACTTGCCTGCAGGCTCCGTGGATGCAGTGGCTGTGGCAGGCTGAGTTGTGAAGCAAAAATGCTCCTCCTGAGGGAGTTGCTCAGTGGCGGTAACCCGTGGTGCATGCCGTCTGTGACAGACTGGTGGGCAGGAACGTTTCTAGCTGCCAAGAACGCTCTTCTGCCAAAACATGGGGCAGGGGAGGGTTTCATTTAGAGTGGTTACTTATGCTTCTCAAGTTCAAAACATCCTTCAAGGCCAGGTGTGGTGGCGCACAGGAGGATCCTTGCGAGTTTGAGGCCAGCTTGAACTATATAGCGAGACCCTGTCTCAAAAAGACAAAAAAAAAAAAACAAGAAAAAAAAAATTCCTTCAAAGTGACAGGGGCAAAAACAAAAAAAAAAATTTTAAAAGGCCAGGTGTGGTGGCGCATACCTGTAATCCCAGCACTGGTGGGGGAAGGGGCTGAGGCAGGAGGATCATTGTGAGTTTGAGACCATCCTGGGCTACAAAGTGAGCTCAAGGCCAGCCTGAACTGTATAGCGAGACCCTGTCTCAAAAAAGCAAAACAAAAACCAAAGTGACAGTGGCAAGCTAATGCTGTGTGGTGGTGAGAAGTTCTTCAACCACACAACTTCACACGCTGCCCTCTGCTGCCACTGCTGCCAGCCCTCAGGGAAGAGACAGAGCCGTACACAGTGGCAAACCACTACACTGCCCAATACCGTAGCCACCCGCCACCTGCGACAGCTGAACACTGGAAATGTGTCTTCTGTGATTGAGGGATTGAACTTTAAATTTTATTTCATTTAAATGCAGATTAATTGTAATGAAATAACCACATGTGGCTATCAAATTGGATAGTACACTTGTAGTCCTGGGACAAAGCTATTACTTGTTTAACTATTTTAAAACCAATAGCTAGAGCTGGGTGTGGCGGCCCACACCTGTAATCCTAGCACTCAGCATTCGGGAGGCTGAGGCAGGAGGATCACTGCAAGTTCGAGGCCAGCCTGGGCTACAAAGTGAGCTTAAGGCCAGCCTGAACTGCATACTGAGATCCTGTCTCAAAAACATCAAAACAACAAACAAACAAAAAAATTAGCTGAGACAAGAGCACTTGGTGTGTAAGACCAAATTTTGAATTACATAGTAAGAGCCAGGGGTTAGACAGAAAAAGGTATTTGTTGTGTTTTGTTTAAACAAAACTTGGCTTTGCATATCAAGAACTGCAAAGCTTCAAGCCTAGTATGTGAAATTTATACCACAAGGGAGAGAAAAGAGGTATGCCTGATAAATTAGGGTGACTTTTCCTGCCCAGAAGGATGTAAGACTTTAGGAAGGAAGAAAATACTGTTTCTAGAGTTTAACTCGGGGATGCCTAAGAAAGGTGCTGACAAAGGGCAAGCCAGGGCACGGGTGTCCCCGAGTGTAGGGACTGACTGCCTGGATCCTCCGCGAGCATGGCCCACGCCTGACACACAGCTCAAGCCGAGGGGCACAGGCAGTGGCAGACGGAGAAGTCAGCATGGGTGGAAGGGGGGTGGCCTCCAGAGCCTAGGAGACCCGCAGAGTGTGTGTGCGTGTGTGTGTGAAGACCTAGGTGTGCCACAGCCCCGTACGTGGATGTGCAAGAGAGATTCTAACCCACAACAGAGTGGGTAAGGCGGCTGCTGGTCCCCGACTGCCGGGATGATTTACAGGCACCCCAAGAAGACCTGAGGTCACCTCTGAGAGGGATGAACAAGGAGGAGGATGTGACACGAGGCCTCAGATTAAGGTCAAATATTGTGTGTCACCTTGACCTCTGGTCTAACCTCACGCTCCCCTCCCCGCTGTGCTCTCAGGACAACGGCCCTGTTTTCCCTTAATCTTCCTTATCCCTCAGCCCCGGCTTCAGTTTCCCTCCAGGCTGTGGGATTAGTGAAAGAAACTGATCAAACCCTCCAGAGGTCCCAGGGAGACCGCGCCTTGTTGTTACTCCAAAGCCTGCCGCCCCTGCCCCCGCTCCCTCACGCTGCTCCCAGCACCCGGCACGGCCTGCAGCTCCGCCCCTCCTGGGCTGAGGAACCGTGAGCCCATCTGTCCGTGCCGAATGCGTGAGTCCAGCCCTCACCCCAGCCCACGGTGGACTCTTTCCCTGCCACAGGGTGCGCAGGAGGCAACTGAAACAAAGAGCAATGGGGAGAATCTGGAATTAGCTGATTTTAAGCCTGAAGCGGAACACTTTTATTTTTCATTTATTTATTTATTTTTGTCTTTTTGAGACATGGTGTCGCTATGCAGTTCAGGCTGGCCTTGAGCTCACTTTGTAGCCCAGGCTGGTCTCAAACCCACAGCGATCCTCCTGCCTCAGCCTCCTGAGTGCTGGGATTACAGGCGTGTGCCACCATGCTGGCAGGCTGAACACTTTTAAACTCCCAGGGTAATTCATGCATATGGCACTGAAAAGTTTAATATTTTTGCCATCAGCAGAAGTAAGGATTTAAGAACTTAAGACAGATAAAAGGAGCTTTATATCTGTATACCGAACAATACATAAACACATTTTTTACATTTTACTGAGTATTAATAATAGTTCAGACAGTGGATAGACTATTGATTTAATGTCCCCCTCCATATATATATGTAATATATGTATATAAATTTAAAATACATACATATATATTTCTATCTTTTTAGATAGGGTTTCACTACATAGTTCAGGCTGGCATTGAACTCACTTTGTAGCCCAGGCTGGACTTGAACTCACAGCAATCTTTCTGCTTCAGCTTCCCAAGTGCTGGGATTACAGGCATGCACCATCATGCCCAGCTTTTTCCCCCTCTTGGGTGCTGGCAATTAAACTCAATGAATGGATCCTAAAGTCATCCAAAGGATGTATAAAGATTTTCTCCTGTTTCTTATACCTTTCGTGTGTTTGCTCATGATCCTCAGTGAGCCCTGTTAAGGAATACACGATTCACTCAACTGCCCTGTAAAGATGACATATCAAGCACATAGTATCGCCAGGTGTGGTGGCGCCTACCTGTAATCCCAGCACTTGGGAAGGCTGAGGCAGGAGGATTGTTGTGAGTTGGAGACCAGCCTTGGCTACAAAGTGAGCTCAAGGCCAGCCTGAACTGCATAGTGAGACCGTCTCAAAAAGACAAAAAAAAAAAAAAAAAAAAAGCACATAGTATCTTCACAGCAGTAGGCCAAGAACTGAGATGTAAAGAAGATTCCACACAGGCTCAGGCCTTCCACTCCAATAAAGCCCAGTTAGGCAAAGCTACTTCTGACTTTCTTCTGAACTCCCAAGATAATGTGTATACACACATCTTTCTTATGGTGTTTAGGTATATTTTAAATAAAGTTAAAATAATGGTATCAGAAAACTGCACATTCTTGCTGGGCATGGTGACACATATCTGTAATCCCAGCACTTGGGAGGCTGAGGCAGGAGTACCACTGCAAGTTCAAGTCCAGCCTGAACTACATAATGAGGCCCTGAAGCAGGAGATTAGGGCTTGGCAAACTGGCTGGGCAAATGGATGTGACCTGTGGATCACAGGGTTCAAGGACACATGCATAGAACAGTTCCCAAAGCCTTGCTTGCACCTGGGACTAAACAGAGAATGCCTTCTTCAGTTCTTGTGAGCATTCAAGCACAGCCTAGACCTTGCATCAGCCTGAGGAGTGGATGACCGCTGCCACTGACCTGTGGCCGGTAGCCCTCTTTCACAGTGATCCCCTCTTAGCCTATACAGTGTACTTCTTTCCTTGCTTTTAACTGGCTCACACTCACCCTTCAGAGTATGTTTCTTTCCCCACATTTAATAAATGTAAAACCTTGCTACCTTTTGTGCTTTTTTGGTTCAATTCTTTGTTCACAACCACGAAGAACCTAGAAGCAGCCATAGAAGAAGTCTCCAGCACCCCAGAACCCAGTAACAACATTGTCTCAAAACATAAAAAGCAAAAGTTTAACATTCTAATAGAAACATGCATTTTCACTCCAAATGGAGAAGCAGAACACCCCAGCACAGTCTCCCTGAGCGGCTCCTTTCACATCACTCTCCTTCACCTCTGAACTGTAGGCGGGGGTGAGGAAATAGTGTCAAAGAAGAAACAGGGCTATGGGGTCAGACAGACGTATAACTGAAAATTTGACTACAGCAACCCATGTGGACTATTTCTGCATCTATAAAAATGGTGAAGCCAAAGCCGGGCATGGTGGTGCATGCCTGTAATCCCAGCACTCGGGAGGCTGAGGTAGCAGGATCGTTGCAAGTTTGAGACCAGCCTGGGCTACAAAGTGAGCTCAAGGCCAGCCTGAACTACATAGCGAGACCCTGTTTCAAACAGACAAAAAAAAAAAGTGAAACGAACCCATATCCCATAGAATTGGTGGATGGTGGTGACTCAGCTAAGGCTAAATTGCTTTTTCTTTTTTCTTTTTCCTTACCTCATGCTGTTATAGCTCCAGTTTTTTAAAAAAAGGAACCTGACATTTTCTTTACACAAAGCTTTTAGGCAAATATGTCCTTTTTACTGTGCTTTAGAAATACTGAAAAATGGGTCACAAGCACCTGTGCCTGATGCGGGGATGGAAACAGAAAAGCCATGGGCCCTTGCTGAGGTAGAGAAGAGATAACAAGGAGAAAAATTATAACTTAAACACTGTACTTGTAAGAATACTGCTCTTCCAGGACAGGAAGTCACCCGCAGTTGTCCGTGTCAGTATTCCCTAGGTTTGTTTATGCCTCTCTCCTTGTAGGCTCATCACACCGAAACTCCCTTAAAGATACAGAGTCCACAAATTAGCTTAGCTGAGAAAGTAAAGGGCAGAAGCCTGATTTTAAGACAAAGGAACAGATTGAGAGTTTGAAGAATGTTTTTAGGCAGAGAGATTTTAGATCACCCAAGTTAAAAGAACAATTGATGGGGCTCATGCCTTTCATTTGTAAAATGAATCTATCTCTGTCATCCCCCCCCATTAACCAAGAGCATTACAGAACTTCCTATAAATTCACAAATTCCACAGATTTCCACTGCCTAAATATTCCTAAATATGCATTGCAGAACTTCCTATAAATTCACAAATTCCACAGATTTCCACTGCCTAAATATTCCTAAATATTCCCAGCTCTGACTGGAATATTGTACTTCCTCTGTCTTGTACAGCCCATTGTTTATTT